CCTTTATACTGTCATTTCCAGGTCATTTCTACAAACCAATCAAATCGACGCACCAAGTCTTCCTAAGCTTCCGGTTCCGCCTACCGTCCTCTTCCGGATTTCCCTAGCGTGACCGACGTTTCGTGTCTCTTTAGACTTAAAGTAAGTGCAAATTACCCTTTATAAAATGCATTTTGTGTGCTGTTTCATGCCTTACTGCGATTTTGTTTTGACACACTCCCCTCTGTTGAATTTGTTTGGCATTTATGTGTTTTTGTTTTGGTGCGCACCAAGTGAAGGCCCGTAGGAAACACTGAGCGCCATGATGATGATTCTGTTACCATCAAGCACTAAAGACATGTTTTAACGCAGATAAATAATTTATTGTATTCTGTCGAAGCGTTAAGTATAATTCCAAGCAACTGTCTCTTTAGTTATTTCATCCTATGTGCGTCGGTAAACTTGTTTTAATGTGCTGTAAACAAAAGCTAATCTTAGCCAAGCTAGCATCAAACGTGTCAGACTCGTGTTTACTGACAGACTGAAAAATATTTTGTTCACTTCGATCTTTATTTCTGTGTTTTGCAGTCAGCAGTAGCTGATTAACATTGTCTAAATTACTCGTGTCGTCGTTCATCTTTATATCACTTTTACCTCTTAGAGCTGAGTCTATGCAAAATAGTTTTTATAAAGGTTGACAGTTCATTGTTTATCCCTTCATAAGTTTTATACTTACAGTACTGGTAAATTGAAAACTCACTCTATTTCATCCTGATAGTTGATTAGACTTATTTTTAATATAAGTCGTGATTTTATATTGCACCTGTGAGTTGTGATTCTAGATTTACCTAAAAATAATAATTAAAAACCCTGAACATCTCAGTTCATTTGAGGTGTATGCAGTGTAATTGTCTTAATTTGTTTAAACATSTTTTCTAACTCAAATTTGTTCATTTCAGAATGCGTTACGTGGCCGCTTACCTCCTCGCTACCCTCGGTGGAAACAGCAGCCCCTCTGCAAAAGACCTCAAGGGCATCCTGGGTAGTGTGGGAATTGAGGCCGATGACGAACGCTTGACTAAAGTATGGTATTTTTGTTGGCTTGTTATTTTAATATAACACTTATTCTGCATTGGCGATGTGTTAAATCTAAATCTCCCAACAGGTCATCAATGAGCTGAATGGAAAGGACATCAATGAAGTCTTGAACTCAGGTAAATGTTTGGAAATAAAGCATGGCTGTAGAGTTTGATATGTTACACATTAAAGTTGGCTGAAAATGGGATTTATTTTTGCTACAGGCCTCTCCAAGTTAGCCTCTGTACCAGCAGGTGGTGCTGTAGCAGCACCTGCCGCCGCCGCTGCTGCTGCTGGTGGGGCCGCTGGGGCTGCACCTGCTGCTGGTATGTATGTTTTTTTAAGCATAAATTGATAAGAACGGTGATATTGAAAAAGCATTATTCCTAATTTTCTGCATTTTAGACCCTCTAACCCTGAACCTTGAATTTAACTGACTTAGATATCAACGGAGCTAAAAATCTATTGACTCTTCTCCGATATTAACTTCTGATTTTTACCTTATTTTCAGCGGAAGAGAAAAAGGAAGAGAAGAAAGAAGAATCTGAAGAGTCSGATGAAGACATGGGCTTCGGGCTCTTCGATTAATCTGTCTTCTCTTTGTTTAAAAAGCAATAAAAATGTAAAAGGTTTACACAAACAATTTGTCTTTTAGACCCTCATTTATTTTTAAAATATTTTTTCCCCGACAACCAAGAATAAACCAGGTGAGGCAACCAGACACCATWAGGCAATCCTGATCCTGCGTGTGGTCAGTCTCCTAATCCATGAAACCACGTAAACACTAAGTCATAATAACATTTGAATGAGCCACATGCAAAGTCAGTCAAATGTTTTTTTGTAATAGTTGCAAAGACTAGTTAGTGTGGCTGATAACAGAATGAAAACTACTTTTTTCTCCTCTGATATTTTCGGTTTGATCACCGGAAAGTCATGAACCACTTCCACAATGCAAAAGAAGAAGTTGGGTAGGTGTTTGGAAAATGTTCTCTGTAAAGACTAATGCAATTTTGAGTTCCCACAGTTTTAGTTGTCTGTTTTACAGTCCARCTGTATTGTTAAACATTCAGAAACAAAAGCAGTCGTTTAAAAGAGTTCTTGTGCGAAGAGCTGTCAAGTTTTTCCTGGCTAAAAGCCAAGTTTCCACTTTGTGGCGTGATTTAATGAGTCAATAAGTTTGTATTGCATATTTTTAAAGTTCACACAATTAGTAATATGGAATTGTGTTTTCACAGAACCCTAAGAAATTTTCCCCACCTGTCTTGTTCCGTTCACTTGTCACCTGACACCCGAACTACTCAAAATAACATGCCGATACAGGATTATTTCTCAGCAGTTCTGTCCACCTTAAACTGAATGACCTGAAACTCTTCTAATTCATGTACACCTGGCAGTAAGTTTACTGTAAATGTGCCATAGTGTTGCAAAACAGGACCGTGTACAAAAATTTCCTCAAGTCCATTTCTGGTGAGATATTTATAGACGTTCTTTGATGACATCATTGAGCGTGTTAGTCATACAASTGATGGGTATGTTCTGTTTTCATTTATGATTGTCACTCAAAGCTAGGATTTGTTTCAGGGTCTGCCAATTATTATACATAAATGTGCACTAGGTTTGTTACAAACCATTCGGCTGATAAAAATCACACGTTTTATGTGTCTTCTTGAGTTCTTGTCATGTTTCATTCTTGAGGAGTGTTTCAAAGTATAATCCTGTGTTCTGATGAATGTTGACTTCAAAAAACATATTTAGAACTTGAAAATGAAACCACTTTTTACATGTGACTGTTGCTCATATTCACTTTTTAGAAGGTGTTTTGGGAACATTCTAAAAGGAGCATTGAGAGTTTTGGCTTTCCCCAAAACAAGTTTAAACAAATTTTTATTTCCTCATTACACAGGGTGACTTATTCTACCCTTACAACAACAAAGGACCGTCATATCTCTTGAATCATGGCGTATAATAATCGCGTGCACCGTGTACGGTTTTACTTTCGTTGCTCAGAAATAAATAGCAGTAAAACCTGATAACGATGCATACATGTTTATTAAAATCATAAAATGAATGCCAGCATTCGTAACAAACGGTCACAGTTTATTCAGCCAAAGTTCATAAATATTTCTGAAAAGTGCTCACAGTTGTCTATACATGAAAGGATTGTGCACAATTTTTTTTTCCAATATTACAAAGTGATTGTACAAAAAAACGAATTAAAAAAAAAACTATTTGGCAAACAGGTTTGCAGTAGTGTTGCTTTCAACTTATATTCCTGACCATGCTTTTGCAGGAATGTGGGTGTGCTTATTAAGCTCACATTCTGTAAGGTGTTTTTAAAGGCACAGTGTGTAGGATTTTGTCAAGTCTTTTAGACTAAATTGAGATAATCACTAATGACAATAAAAAAAAAAAACATGTCTAATCATTGCAGACAAAGACCTTGTTTTATTATTTTTACCTTATAAAAAGCTGTTTATATCTCCATGGTCGCGGGTCGCCACACAGACAGCCGCCATCTTGTCTACGAAGGCTCATGAAGGACAAACTGTGGTGGCGGCGTCAAAAACGGTTTTAGTTGTAATACTATAAATGTAATATTTGTTGTCTGTCATTGTAGCTGGGATAATTTTACTTATTAAAGCTCATAATCTTACCACTTGAAACATCACTAGCCCTGAAGCTGCTGGTAGACATCGCGGTTGGAATTATCAAAGGTTTTTGACTCCTGAGAGACACCGTAGCAACTCCTTTGCGTTTGGAAGCGGGCGGTGGGGGTGGGGGGAGGACCAGGGAGGATGACAGATGTCGCTGAAAACAACAAATCCTACACACTGTGCCTTCAAGCAGCACTTCACTGATCAAAAACACTCCTGTTCCCAGAGAATTCAGTTCCCTCAGCACCTTGTTCTTCACAGATTATTAGTCCCTGAATGAAATTTTACTCAAATTTAAAATGATGTGTGCACTTAATGAGTTTTGAGGAGCCCTACATGAGCATGGTCAGTAAAGTGGAGATGATAAAATTTGGGCTCAGTGTTGTTTTCGAGCGGCGGGACCTCAGTCTTCGCTGTCGGACCACGGATGATCTGTACACGCCTGCAAGTAACAATAAAACATTTAAATATACTTTTTTCAAAGCTGCAGATTAATTTTACATTTGAAGTTGCATTGTTTGAAACGTTTCTTAACAGGTTCTCTCTCCCCCACCCCGTGTTATGAGTTTATTTGCTCCTCACCTGCGTGTATTCAAATCGATCCTGCAGATAGCGGTTCCCGAGACACGTGATGTGGCCTACGTTCTGCTTGGAGAGCCCCGCGATCCTGGCAGTGAAGTCCAGAGTAAAGGCCAGTTTGACCAGCTCAGGTGCCGTTGGATGCACGGGGGGAGGATTGTGGTTCGGTGTCGCCTCTTTCTCCAGATAAGCGTCTGCCATCTTCTGGAAGGAGGAGTAAGTCAGTCGCTGGAAAAAGTTGTTCAGGGTGGGGTTGTCTTTAAGCTGGAGGAGAACAGAACAGGATTGTCAGGAAGTGTGGAGTGTTTAGACAAGCGAGCACTAGCCAGCAGTCTCTTTTTTTTTCTTCTGTTTTTGCCTACATTTGTAGCAGATGTGATAACATCAGTGTTTCTATAATTGCAGTTTTAACAGCAGCTGATGAACATTTGTGTTATATTACTGATTAATCTGACATCTATTTTCTTATTAAACTGACTGTTTCATTCATGGAAGACTCATTTTTAACAAATATACACAATGTCAAAACATATAGGCAAATAAACAATATTTCTAATCATAAAATCAATTAATAACAGACAAAAACAAACACATTTTTCTACTCTTAATAGTCTAAATATATGAAATTGTTGCATGGTTGGCCTTTTTTTAAGTTTTCAAATAAATCACATTCATCAGTTGCCAGATTAAAGATTTACTAAACAAATAGTTTTTATGAGAATCAGCTTTATGTAAAAGTTTCAACATCCTGTACTGCACACACTGATCACATGGTGTGTTTTTTAAAGCAGGCTTTATGACTCAACATTTAACTCTGCAAAGCCCTTCCTCAACTGTTACGTTGCACTTTCTGTGATTACTGCAGCAATGTGCAGGAAAAAAACTGTTCTTATATTCACGAGATATTTCATCCCTTTGACACGGCATCAGGAGCACATCATCTGTTAGTTGTGAGCTTTTGCATCTAAGYATCTCAATAATGATGGTAACTGGAGAAAATAAATTTTATGCTGAAAATTTTATTTTTAACTAAGGTATCAAAATCAAGCAGAACTAGGGCTGGGCGGTATGACCTCAAATTCATATCACGGTATAAATAGAATCCCTTCACGGTAACGGTATATATCGCGGTAGAAAATTATCAGAAAAAGTTAAGTGTAATTTTTAGAGCTTTTTTTTTTGCAGAAAACTGTAATCTTAATAAAACCCAACATTTTTGCTTTAATATCCACCTGCCAAAGAATGAGCTTCTGCCTGCTGAACTTATCAGCTGCTGCTCTGCTGCGTGCTCATCTTCATCATTAGAGAGCGGAAGCTGACTTTACATTAGCAAGATGGATTTACAACTGAACAAACATCCACATCTTTTTTTTAATCTCTGTGGGTAACAATACATAAAAAATCATTTTTTTCTCTGACAATTGGGTGTGAAAAACTACAGTTGTTAAAGCTTCGCTCTGCGTGAGGTGCAGCGGGAGGGAGGGAGGAAATGATCCCACAACACGGCGTAACTTTTCTACAGCAGGAGGAGGAAATTTTGAGGATTTTTCTCTCTATACAGTGGTTTGCAAAAGTATTCATACCCCTTGAACTTTTCCATATTTTGTCACATTACAAC